TGTGTCTTTATAATTAATTTAATTTTGCTTAATATCCTTCCATGTCGTGTTTAGGAAGCAGAAACTAAATATATATGGGATAAATTAATCCTGACAGGGTTATCAGGCCTGAGGGAGTCTATTTTGCAATAATTGCCATATAAACCATACGTTCTCCTGCACATTACATGGCTACTTGTCTATTGGTGTGGACCCCAATATAGTTATTCTTCTTGGTGTGTAATACCAGATTTGTGTTGAAGGAAGAGTTAACAACAACAACAACAACAAAAAACAAAATACACATTTACTCACTCATGTTGGTCTAATTCTCTTATTTCAGTCAAGAAGGACACCAGAACATACGTGAAAGCTGGTTCTTTTTAATAGTCGATTACAGCGCTTTAAAAGAAATCAATTCCAAACAGCACTCGTATTTACAGAATCTCAGAGCTAACTTGTGCTAAATCTTTTAGCACAGACTCCAAATATGCGCCAGTCATCCACAACATTTTGATAAAACAGTTTAAAAAATATATATACACAATCCAAAAACACAGTATTTACAATTCTGAGCAACAATTAAACACTTTGGCAGCACACAGGGTTGTAACATTTTTCTTTCTGCAATATTTTCAAGACACAATAGCCAGAGCGTTAGCCAGCATCTGAATGGCACGAAGAGGATCCACGATGTCCTTTAATTTGTCACGCCGTAGAACCCAGTCTGGAGCAAACCTGAGATAAATCAGAAGGTTGGTGGGATCAGTGTCTTCCCTACAACACAGACTATGGCGAAGGTTTTATAGATAGTGGATAATTCCATACCTGGCCACTGGTTTTGATTTTCGAGGAGTGGCTTGGAGGAGAAAACTTCCATTGAGAGAGGTGTTCATTTTCTGTTTGACTTTGTTTCTCTCAGCATCCATCTTGTTTTTCCGAAGCGTGAGTCGGTAGATGCTGCGAATGCGATCCGAAACCTTTGGAAGCTTTCGAACCTCCTGTTTGAAAAGAACGTTCAAACAATTAATTGCTTTCATGACTTTATTTTAAATTACATTAAAAGTCTACAGGTTCAATACAAGTTGGGCTGTATTGATAGCACTTTTAGTTTTTTACTTTTATTGAAATCAATTGCTTGAAAGAAACACCCACCATTGCTCTTCTTTCATCCTGGACTAAGAGGACCAAGAGAAAACAAGCCTTGGTAAAGATGCTGCCTCCTTTTTCTGCAACCTTATCTCCAGCCTTTTCCCGGTAGATCTGCAGAAGCTCCAGTAGGGTTTCTACAGAGCTGTCCACTTCATAAACTGCATCAATGGTTCTGTTGTACTGAAAAATATATTGGAAAAAAAAA